AGCCTAGTGGGCCCTCAAGACTTGTGCGTATTGGGACTCTACACGCACCTTTCCTGTCTTGGCTACGTGATTCCAGGCAGCATTCCTGGAGTAAAGCATAAAGTTCTTATCATTCCCTGAGCAATCACCCTTTCTCCTTCCTTGCTTTTGCCCCTGGCGTATTCTTCTCTCACTTACCTGTATGTTCAAATCCTTGAAGACCCTGTTGCAATACTGCCACCTCAGTGAAATCCTCACTAATGCCCACATCCTCCCTGCGCAATCCAGAAGTGACCTTTCTTTCTTCCGCTCTCCTCTAATGGCTCAAGGTTGAGGATGTCTGTAGCAGTACCCCCCTTCCAGGCTCTGAGTTCCTTGAAGACGGGGTGGGTGGAATTCAGCACTTATAAAGTCAAGTGCCCACAGAGGTGGCCTGGCAGGTAACAGAAGTGATGTGCTGGTGTAGGACCTTAGGGAGTGGCACCTAGCAGCCCAGCTCCAGCCAATCATTGATAGCCCAGTGATGCCGGATCTTAGGATTTTTCAAGGTGAAGCACAATACCTGAATTTTCTAAAAATTCCCTTTTCAAAAATTATGGTAAAATACATATAACAAAACGTTTGCCATTTCAACCATTTTTGTGTACCATTCGGTGAAAAATGTCCTTTTTAAATGTCAGTAATTCAAGAAAAAATTTAGCACTGTGCAGACTCCATAAAACACTTACAGGCTGGATTCATGAGTTTGTGACATCTGATCTAGTTTATCTCAGGGCTAGAGGCAGTGCCTGGGAGGCAGAGAGCATTGTGGTAAGAGCCTGGACTTAGAGTCACCAGACCTGGGTTTCCTTGCTCTGTTACTTCATAGTCTTGTGTTCTTGGACAGATTGTTTAATGATTTGAACCTCAGTTCTCTCATCTGTAAATAGAAACGGTGATCAGAGAACTTGCCTCCTAAGTCTGTGGTTCTTAAGCTGTGGTTTCTAGACCAGAAGAATCAACACCACTGGAGAACTTGTTAGAAAAGTAAACTCGGGGACCCCACCCTAAACCTACCTAAACTCTGAGGGTGGAGCAGCAGTCCATTTTAACCAGCCCTCCAGGTGACGTTGCATCCTCTCTAGTTTGAGAACCGCTGGTCTGGGGACCCACGGGCACTTAGCTGGGCACCTGGTCCACAGTCAGCGTTCAATTAATGGCTGCTGGTGTGCCATAGGAGCCCCGGTGGCACAGTGGTTAAGAGCTCAGTTGCTAACCAAAAGGATAGCAGTTCGAATCCACCAGCCACTCCTTGGTAACCCTATGGGACAGTTCTACTCTATCCTATACGGCGGCTGTGAGTCAGAATTGACTTGACAGCAGTGGGTTTGGTCTGGGTTTTTTGGTGCACCATAGGCACTTAGTTAAAAACAAAACGAAAACAACTTTTTAAAAATACACAAATGTGGTAGGTCAATAAAAAATGCAGATGTGTGCTTTGGGGGCAGAGATGAAGGGTGAGACTTCTACCCTGGAGATCTAGGGGAAGAGGGGGCCTCTGAGCTCAGACATGAACACCAGGGACACTGGCTAGGCAGAGCATTGAGCCCAGATGGTCACAGGTGGAGCCTCTCAAGGCAGGATCAGTTGTGGAGTTCGGCTCAAGTGTTTGGGTTGAAGGAGGAGAGTTAGGAGCTGAGACAGGGATGAGACCTTATAGGAACTGTTCTACCAATTAGATTGTGGGCTTATTTGAAGTGCCGTCAGAGAGTTCTTAGCAGAGGAAAGATATTGTCCCATTTGTGTTCTTTTTGGATGCCAGGAGAGACTGGAGTGAGTAAGGAGGCTGGGGCAGGGTTCAGGCAAGAGTGGTGTTGACCCAGAGTGGTGACCAGGGAAATGGAGAGAAAGGGATCCAAATGGTGACTTTATTAATCATGGGGAGAGAGGGAAGACGAAGAAGAGCCTGGGATGGTAATCCCTTTAGGAAAATCATTTGTTGGATGAATGAATGAATATTTATTGAGCAATTGCTGGGGACATTAGCAATGAACAAGACAGACGGAATGAACTATAAACAAAAAGTACTGCCTTCATGAAACTGACATTCCAGTGGGGGAGGAAAGAGTAATAAAAAAATGAATATGAAATATGTCAGAGAAGGTAGAAAAATAATGCAGGGAAGGGGCAGGAGTGTGTGAAATGTTATTGTTTCAAACAGAGTAATCATGGAAAGCCTCACTGAAGCGGCAACATGAGCAATGGACAGATGAGGCGAGGGAGCAGGTCCTGTGGGTATTTGGGAGAAGAGCAAGCCAGGCAGAGGGTGCAGCAAGTTGAGGCTCCCATCCAGCAGGAGCAGGTTTAGTGGGAATGCTGAGGAATATTAAGTGTGGAAACACAGCTAGTCTGGATGCTTGGGCACAGACCTCTCATCTGTCTGCCCAGGCCAAACGGAGAGCCGTGGGCGGCTGCAGGGTGTGGCAGAGCTGCGCCTGGCAGGCCTGGAGCTGACTGATGCCTCCCTGCGGCTCCTGCTGCGCCATGCACCCCAGCTGAGTGCGCTGGACCTAAGCCACTGCGCCCATGTCGGGGACCCCAGCGTCCACCTCCTTACAGCCCCCACCTCCCCGCTCCGCGAGACGCTCGTGCACCTCAATCTCGCTGGTAAGCATGGTCCCGTCTGTCCTGCTAGCCTCCTGGCCCCCATGGCCAGTGCCTACCCCCTACTCACCTACCTGGTCTCAGCTGCCACCACTCCACATCCCCAGGTTGCCACCGCCTCACGGACCACTGCCTCCCGCTGTTCCGTCGCTGCCCTCGCCTACGCCGCCTAGACCTGCGTTCCTGCCGCCAGCTCTCACCTGAAGCTTGTGCCCGGCTGGCAGCCGCCGGGCCCCCAGGCCCCTTCCGCTGCCCAGAGGAAAAGCTACTTCTCAAGGACAGCTAGTTGGGCGCCCCCCACCCTCCCCCAGGACTCATCAGGAGCCTGGACCTCTGGCTTTCATTTCACCGCCTGCCAGGAGGCCAGGTTACCCACCTCATGACTTGGAATTCCTGAGCTTTATGACTTAGGATTCCTGCCCAGGGACTAGAGCCAGCCTCCCCCCCTCTCTTCCCCCTGCACTGATATCTCTGGGGGTCTCTCCTTCCCATCCCCTCCCCCTTCCACCTACTTCATTGTCCATCCCCTGGGGGGAGTGGGTCAGAGGTACTGGGGGGGTGCTGAGCCAAAGGGATGGTGGGAGGGGGGTTAAGGTGCAAATTTGAGGGGGGGTAATGGGGAAGGGTATCTGCACACAGGATACTGGGAGCCAGGGGGCTGGGGGAGGTGGAGGATGGGCTGGGGGGAGGGGGGGCAGAAAGCAGACCATCAAAGGTTCAGGGAACAAAGACCAGATACTTGGAGTTGGGGGTGGGGTGGGGGGCCAAAAAGGGAAAAGAGAGGAGCGATTGGGGATCCAGGTGTCAGAGGTAGGGGAACTCCAGGAGCCAGGGGAAAGCCAGGACTGAGTAGGGGGTAGGGGGACAAGAGCAGGTGTTGGGGTAGTAGTACCCCCTCAGGGGGATGACTCCTCGCCTTCCCCCCTCCCCAGATTTCAGTTCCTTTCTCCCAACCCTGACTCCTTGAACGTCACTGACAATGGCAGCTATTGTGAGGAGTGGGGGCCGCGGGCCTACTCTGTTCAGCACGGCCCAGGGGAGTGGCGAGGGATGCTCCAGCCCCCTGCCTGCCTCCCTGCACAATACTTGAACATTCATCTGTACTGAAATGTTACTTGAACCGGGGAACCTCGGACCTGGGGGAGCTGGAGTGTGAGGGGATGGGACCAGCGTGAACTAAGGCTGGTCCAGTGGGCACCCAGTTTGGACTGCGCCACCCCAGGCTCTCTATTGCTTTACTGTATTGAGCAGCTCCACCCCCCTTGACCTGAGGGGGGCGGTGCCTGCCCAAGGATGGGGAAGATGGGACTCCTCCAGCGTGGCTCTTCCCACTCTTTCATCATCACGGAAACTCGTACCCATTTGCCCAGGGAACTGCCACTCCTGGTTGCCATGGAAATAGCAGCCAATGGACACCTCCCGTTGCCAGTGCTAAAGCTGGAAATGGCCCCTCTTAGTTGCCATGGGAACTTAGTAACAGGCTCTCTTGGCCCTTCCCGCCCGCCCCTTCCTCCAGTGTGGGGGCGGGGTTTCGGGAGCCAGTGGGAGGGATCCGGGCCAGGTCCCGTCCCTCAACCCATGCCTCCCTGGGGAGCCAGGTTGTATCATGTAGGGGAGGGGAAATCTATCCACATACCTCAGGTAACTGGGAGGTGTACGGGTTGGGGGAGGGACTGGGCGGACCAAAGGCCGGAGGGAAGGCGGGCCTGGGGATCGCGAAAGGCTTAAGGATGGAGCCATTTGGGGAAAGAGGAGAAGGCAGCCCGGTGGGGGCAGGTGGGGGCAGGTGGGGGACCCAGCCGGGCTGGGACCCTGGGCCCCGGGTCTATACAATACGGTTTGCTATAAAACTCAGAATCTTCCAGCCGGGGCCACCGAGTTCGTGTGTCTCTCTGCGGCGTGGGGAATGTGGGCAGGGCGCAGATGGCAGGAGTGTTAGCTCCCAAAGCTGTCAGAGCAGGGGCCTTTTTGGATGGGTCTGGGGGCCTAGGACCCCCTAGGCTCCCTGGAACTGAGGCTGCAAAGCCTCCTGAGGTCCCTGCAGATGAGTTAGAAGCGGCTGGGCTCAACTTCCCGGGCTTCACTAGGGAGGGGTTTGGACCTCTGGACATGTCGGGGTATCCAGGTGTGCTTTGAAGAGGTCCAGGGCGCCCGGGCCCAGAAACTCCCAGTCACAGCTAGACGGGGGCTAGGCGTTCACCTCGGTGGGGTTCAGATGCCTGGATGATGATCTCGTGGGGTCCCTCGGGGTCTCTGCTGACGGACCGGGGCCGCGGGGGATGCGTCCCCCGGCTCCACCCCATCATGTGGCTGCCCCGACTCCTCCTCCGCCCCAGTTCCTGTTCGGCCTCTGCTGTCCCGCTTTGGTCCCTGGGACGGCGACGCCTGTTCTTCCTGCTCTACCGGGGCCGCCTCTTCCTGGGCGCCCGCCGCCAGCATCCCCGCTCGCCTCTCCGGGAGATGTGGCTTTCTCCCGACTTGGGCTGGCCCTCCCGGGGTCCCGGAGGCGTCTCGGTCCCGCGGTGACCACCTGGTGCTGCCGCCCCCAGGATGAAGGGCGGAGAGGGGGACGCGGGCGAGCAGGCCCCGCTGAACCCCGCGGGCGACAGCCCCGCGGCTTCAGCCACATACCGAGAGTTCGTGCATCGCGGCTACTTGGACCTCATGGGAGCCAGTGAGCACTCGCTGCGGGCGCTCAGCTGGCGCCGCCTCTACCTCAGCCGGGCCAAGCTCAAAGCCTCCAGCCGCACGTCTGCCCTGCTCTCTGGCTTCGCCATGGTGAGGGGCGGAAAGGGGGCGCATTAGGGTGGGAGTGAAGCATACGCGGGCACAGGTTCGTGAGTGAAGTAAATGGGTCCCCAACGGAAATAGGGCAGAGAAAAAGAAAGATGGATTTTTAAGGGGGTAAGAGGAAACAAAACAAGGTCCCATGGGACTATTTAAGCTCCTCTTTATGGGGTTGTGTATGGGTGTGTGTGTAAACAGACTCCCAGGAGGATAAACAAGTCCCAAAGGCGTCATGGGGCGGGGGGGGGGGGGGGTGGGTAAACAAATCGTCAAGGGGGATAAATAAGCAACAATTGAGCAAAGAGGTCCAAAAGAAGCATAGCCCAGCTGGAGAAGTGGTTATCCCAGACCCGACCTGGGATAATTAAAACTGGGTGGGGGCTATGTAAACAGGACTGCAGGTCTGGGAGGCTCCAGGCGAATAAACTAGATGGAGGGGTCACCCAGCAGGAAGTGGGCCCATCCCAAGGAGAGCAACTACTTCCTAGCAGGCACAAAAGGTGCTTAGGGTTGCCCAGGAAATCTCTGAGAAGATTGCCTGTGAGGAAGCCTCTGGGGAAGGAAGCTGATTAGGAAGCCAATAAATGATTCTGGAGCTGATAAACTAAAGGCGTGGGAGGATGGTAGTATCTAACGGTCCCAGCGGTAGCCCCATAGGAAGTTCCCAGAGTCAGGAGTCAGTGGACAAATTCTGGCTTCTCCCTGCTTGTGGCCAGCTGTGTGACCCTGGACAGGCCTCTACCCCCTCGAAGGCCAGTGGGAAATCAAATAAGATCATGGAGGGTGTGCCCTCTGTAGCTTGCCAGGAACCGGCCCCAGGGATGAGCTGTGATTCTTGTTGTCAGGCACCCCATATCCAAACATGTCAAAACTGGACATACACCAGAGCTGGCTCAGACTAACCTGTTCATTGGGAAGGTGGGGAAACCAACGCCCAGAGTGGGGGTAGGTGCTCTGCCAAGGGCACTCAGCAGATGAAGGATATAGAATGAACTAGGACCAGGGTCCCTGGAGTGTTAGTCCGGGGTTTCCCCACCTTCATGACAGGAAGGAAGAAAGAGAAAGTGGGCTGGAGGGGCGTCATCTTGGAAGGTGCTCCTGTGGAAGGGAGATGAATACAGGGATAGAGGCAGGGGTCATGCCGCTAGGTGATTTGGGTTAGTCCCTGCCTCTCTCTGCCACAGCGTCTATGTTTGAAAGATGACAGGTGAAGTCTCTATCAGTAAGGGTCATCCTCAGTCTATGGTTTTCTATGTGGGGGCCCAGGATCCACAGGCCAGCCCACCCTTCCTGATGGGGAGTGTCATTTGGGGCAGGGAGTTAGCTCCTCTTCATCTGTACTGACTGCAAAGGGCAGGGAGCAGACACCCATGTACCTAGCTGGGGGAGGTCTCCTACCCTCGTCAGCCTGTTCCCAAGGGGACAATCCAGCCTGTTGCTTGACTTGCAGGTTGCTGGGGTGACAGCTTAAGGGCCAAAGCGTTCTCTGCAGATTCAAGAGGCTGGATGTGTATGTTCTGGTTGTAGGACTAACCCCAATCCTGGCAGGGGAGAGGAGTGTTATGCCAGGCTCTGGAAGAAACCAGGACTAAGCCTGGCCCAGATCCCTGTCTATGGAAAACATCTGCTGATACCCACCATGGCCCAATTTCCCAAAATACTCAGCCCTGTCTTTTTACCACCACCCGCCAGGCTCTGCACCTTCCTTCTCCTTCCCCCAGCCCCAGAACAATCTAATGGATTGTACAAGAACTAGGGATGGGGAGAGAACCAGATTCTGGAACGCAAGTGGCTTGGGTTAGAATAGCAATGCTATACAAATTGCACTGAACTGTCACTGAGTACCAGACACTGTGCCCCGGGATTTTTTGTGCATCATCTTTCTATTACCCTATGAAGTAGGTACCACTGCGATGGCAATTTTACAAATAAGGAAACAGGATCAGAGATGTTCAGTACCAGCCCAAGGACTCACAGCAAGTTAGTGGCAGAGTAAGCTTTGAACTTAGGTAGTCTGGCTATAGAGTCCAAATTTATAAAAGCCTAGAATGGGGTCATCAACTCAAAAGTTTGCCAAGGCCAGGTAGGTAATATAGATATCAAGTTGGCTGGGTGGGGACTTCGATGCTCTAAAGACCCCACGACCTGTCCAAAGGGCGCAGCCATGACTCAACTACAGCTGACAGTTGCCATGCAGGATTGTGAGCCTGATATGGCCAGATCTTCCAAGTTTTCAGGAGGATCTGGAAATAGGGATATGAAATCTCTCAAGGTTCAAAAATTGGCAACTAATTCAATTGTTTAAAAAACACATACTGCATGAGCCAAACAAAACACGGCTGCCAGTTGGCTTTGGCTCATGGTATGCCAATTTGCAACCTCTAGCCTGGGACTTTAGTGTTAACTATAGTAATAACAGCAAACACCTACATAGTGCTTACTACGTGCCTGGCCATGTTTTTAAGTGCTATTATTAATCTGCATTTTCCAGATGACAAAATTGAGGCCCAGAGAGAATTAAGTCACTTGCTCAAGATCACAGTTTGTAGAACTGAGATTTGAACCCAGGCAGCCCAGCTCCAGAATCTATGCTCTTTAACTCTTATGTTATAACAACTTAAGACTGTCCAGAACATCTTATCCAGCCCTCTCAATAGCCAGGTGGGGAAACTGAGGCCCAGAACAGGATAGAACCTTGCAAGGCTGCCCAGTAAAGATTGAGTACCTTCTCTGTGCCAGGCACTGTTCTCAATCGTGATGTATCCCAACAGGCAAAAACAAAAAACGAAAAACCTTACAGTGGAGGAGATTATGGGTACTCAGTCGGTCTCCTCTTGTCCCCACAGGTGGCCATGGTGGAGGTACAGCTGGAGAGCAACCATGAATACCCACCAGGCCTGCTGGTGGCCTTTAGCGCCTGCACCACAGTGCTAGTAGCTGTGCACCTCTTTGCGCTTATGGTCTCCACGTGTCTGCTGCCCCACATTGAAGCCGTTAGCAACATCCACAACCTCAACTCCGTCCACCAGTCACCACACCAGAGACTCCACCGCTATGTGGAGCTGGCCTGGGGCTTCTCCACTGCCTTGGGTACCTTCCTCTTTCTCGCTGAAGTTGTCCTGGTTGGCTGGGTCAAGTTTGTACCCATTGGGGCTCCTTTGGGCACACCGGCCCCTGTGGTACCTGCCTCCCAGGTGCCTGGGACTCTGCCACCAGTGGCCACCTCCCTTAGCCCGGCTTCCAAGCTCCCACCATCCCCTGATTCTGTCGCCCCATCACAGGCTGGGTCGTCTGAGGCTTGCCCACCCCGGCAAGTGTGTGGTGGTGGTGGTGGAGCCCACGGGCCAGGCTGGCAAGCAGCCATGGCCTCCACAGCAATCATGGTACCTGTGGGGCTGGTGTTCATGGCCTTTGCCTTGCATTTCTACCGCTCCTTGGTGGCACACAAGACAGACCGTCACAAGCAGGAGCTAGAGGAGCTGAGTCGCCTGCAGGGGGAGCTGCAGGCTGTGTGAGGCTGGTGTTAGCCTCTGCTGCAAGCACTGCCTCCCTCAGGGATCTGCAAGAGGCCCCAGGGGCCTATGGACCTCATTCCCTGCCCCTGGCTAGAGCCACTTCCTGTGGCCACTCTCAGGTAGAGACCGGATTCCTGCCAGATTCGGGGTCCTTTGGGCTGAGCCTTGGGCAACTCCCACATTCCCAGGGATTCTCCCTGTCTGTCTGTCCCATGGGTTTTGCAAGCTCTACTTTATGTCTTGGCCTGGAGGGGTAGGGGAGGAAGGTTCTCAGTCCAAGGCTCATGTGGTAGGTAGAGGAAGACCCTGGTCAGACCTTGGTACTGACCCTCAGCCACTCCCCACTCCACAGGATGTGGAGGTCAGAAGGTTACACACCCACCCAGCTGCCCTAGAAGGCAGCCAACCCTTGCTTTATTTTTGCAGAATTTATGTTATAGTTGGCAGTTTGGGGGAAGCTTTTCCCCACCCCTGATTTGAATGGGTTCCACACTGTTGCTTTAGTTGCTGCAGAGAGATTTGGGTGCTTCTACCCCAGGCATACTCCCAACCTTTCCCAAGAGGAGCTTCCCTATTTTTGGAGATTCAAGCCCACTCGCCACTGTTGGCAACCTCTGGCCATATGCAGAAGAGGCAGGGCCTTCCCCACTGCCCAAGGCCAACACTTGTGCTTCCACATCTGGTTTTTGCCCTCCTGGGCCAGGGCTGTGGGTCTTTGGAGACTGAGGGCCTGTGTGCCCAGCCTGACTCCCTAGCAAGGGTGCGGATGAGGAGGTTTTAAGCGAGAAGATCCAGCCCTAACCCTTGGAATACAGAGCTGTTCTGACACTGAATTCTTGATGCATCTTGTTTTGTATAATAAATTGTGTTTCACAGATTTCCGTGTAGCTGTGAATGGGGTGAAGGGGAGGCCTCTTGGGATCAGGTGATTTGTTCCTGAGAGCCAGGTGGAGGCTGGTATACCTGGGGGTAGGGGAAGTGGGTTTCAAGTATGGCCCCGTCTGGAGTTGGCGGGGACTAGCCGCTTCTGAATGTGGAGACCTGAGTTATTCCAAGACTAAAAGCCTTTGGACTCTTGTTCCTTTGAGCCCAGGGTCTCTATGTCTCCTGTTGGGAATTTAGGATAAGTTTTTTGAGTGACTACTACATATTAGGAGCTTTTCATAGGTTATCTCATTTAACTGTCACAACCAGCTCAAGAGACAAGTCTTTTTATCATTTCCATCTCAGAGATACGGAACTGAGGCCCAAGAAGGCTGAGGATCTTGCCCAAGGCCACACAGCTAGTCAGTGAAACTGAAGTTGGACAAACTTTACCATCACTCGTGGAAATCTGTTTGATTTGACAAAAGCAGTCCATTCCAACTGGGACAGAAGAAAGGAATCTGATCTCATCACCTACGCTTCCATGTAAATTTCTTTTTTCAGCTTTGTTTTGCTCAAAATTTTAAAGGGTCCCAGCCCTCTCTCTTCAATTTCTTGGGTGTGAGTCCTTGGACAAGTCCCCATCTCCTTCTTTTCTCTTACTTAAAACGGCGAATTTTTATGAACCAGGCTCCAAGGGCCTTTCCTGTACTGTTCGGATACCCACAATAGTCCTGTGTGACAGGAATTAACATCCTTTTTTAAAGGAAGAGTAGAAAACTTAGGTCGATGACTTGCCCAAGGTCATACAGCAAGGGAGTGATATAGAACAGTCTGGAACCCAGGACATCCTCAGCTCAGGCAGAGGGGCCTCGATGGGAGGGCCGTTCCCTAGCTAGACTAGGGTGCCGGCGTCCAGACCGGAGAAAGGGTGCCCGGTCTCAGGGAGACCCCATCCCCAGGCTCCCAGATGTAGGCCTGGGCTGGTGCTGCCCTCGAGCGGCGGGACCGCGTGAGCGCAAGCGGCTGCAGCTAAAAGCGGTGGGCACCGGGACCCATGATAGCTGGAGAATCGACTAGCCCAACCCAGTTCTTGTAGGACCTACATTTTTTTTTTTTTTTTTTTACAGGACCCGTTTAAGGACCTTTTCGCCCCACCGGGCTTTTCAGGGAATCCCGAGACAGCCCTAGATTTGACCACTAATGGTGGGCTAAGCACGGGCAAAATGAGACACCTCTGTAAGCCTCCGTCTCCCCATCTGTCAAATGGGGATCTTAAGACAGCTACAGGCCCGAGGAGGATAACAGGAGAAAAACGATCCCTACATTCTGTGCGGCGCCGGGAAAACGGCCTGAGTCACGGCGGCTGGTTGTATTTTTCCACTTCCCGGGCACCCCTCCCAGCCGGCCCAGGTTTCGGTGGGTCCTACAGGAAGCGCCCCCGCTGTGCCGGGCTCCACACGCTCTGGCCACGCCCCTTGCTTGCAGCGCCTTGCCCCGCCCACAGCAGGAGCTGCAGATTCGCCAGGCCCGCTCCTCCGAAATACTCGGGCCCCTTTTTAGTTGGCTGCAAATTCTCATCGGACTCCGAGAGGAGCTTTGGGCCGTAGCCATTTCCCCCTGCATCGGAATTGGGCTGGTCTCTGAATTGTGCTAGTGAGAAAGATCCAGAAAAAGTGGCAGCCTCTGCCAATAGGGCTTGGCTAACCGGGCGTTATTTTCTTGATTCTACCAAGGCGGGTAAAAGGAAGCGACGGCTGAGGACAGAACCCGTGGCGAATCTGCGGGCTCTTGGATCTTTGGCTGAGCGAAGAAAGGGCCGGGAAGAGAAGCAAAGGCGCGCGCCTGCAAGCCACCGATTCGCCCCGCCCGCCTGACGAATCTGCGTCTGTTCAACGCGCCACTCAAACCTCCTCATCTCTGGCTGGTCTCCTCCTCTCAGTCCCGCCCCCTTTTTCTCAGAGACTAGTCGCAGCTTTCGTCGCTGCGGATTCGTCAAGCCCCCAGGCCGGAGCAGCTGGATAGCAGTAGTGAAGCCCACTCTCCGGGGGATGCGGCCAATCTCCAGGCTCCCTGGGCCGCAACTCCTGATCCTTATAGGGTGCCGGCCGAGGCGAGGCCGCTACCCTCGGCCCCGTGGATCCCCGGCGGCGCCCGAGGCGAAAGTGCGAATGCAGACTCTGTGCCCGCTGGGCCTCGCGCAGGTGGCTGTGGTGTTTGGTG